TTACAAAAGTTCAGACAAATGAACCATATTCTGAATATCCCCATTTCATGACCTATGAAAACAGCGAGAAAAGTCATTTGCACACAAATGTAAACCTTACCATAGGCTGTGCTGAAAACAAATTGGATATGAGAGGCAAACTGTGATTTCTTTGGGTTCACACCATTTGCTAATATTTAAGAATGTAAAAGTATACCAATGATCTAGCTAGCTAAATATTCCATGTGACAGTTAGCAAATGCCGCAGAGTGTGGGAGAAATCTCTCCTTTGGTTATTCCTCAGCATCTGACAATCAAAACAGCAGGTCAAAGGATCCAAGGGAGGGGGCACATTTATTACATTTTTATCCTAAGAGCTCAGCACAGCACCCCTGGTTGTCGCGAGGCAGCTAGGCTGAAAGACAGCAACCAGACCAAGGTCACCTAGCTTCTTGGCCATGTGGGAATCGGAACTTGGATTTCCCTGATTCTTTTCCAAATATCTAATTACTGTACTGGATGGGCCTTTAACCACACCTTTTGAGCCAGCTTATGCATTTTTGCCAAGCGTGTACAGTCCCCTCCTTTCTACTGTGGACCTATATTTACTGGAGAGCCACATGTTTTGGAAGAAGCATATGCTTCTCCAAGTTTAAAAAGGAGGTTTAGATAGAGGTGCTGCTGGGGGGGGGGGAAGAAGACGAGGAAATAGCTCCTTTGCAAAAGCAGCAATTTCCTTTAGCGGATAGCCTTCCAGCAGCTTCCACCTCAAAGCCCCATACTACTGTTAGAAATAGTTATAAACTTAAAACACATTTGGGGAGGAAGCTGGAGTCAGCTGACGTGAAGTAAAAAGAGTTAGTTCATGATACATGTATGATGGGTCATGAACACACTGTGTCTTGGTATGTAGGCTTTTAGTGTGGTGGTGTTTAGGGTGGCGCTGTGGTCTAAACCACTGAGCCTCTTGGGCCTGCCAATCAGAAGGTCGGTGGTTCAAATCCCTGTGACAGGGTGAGCTCCTGTTGCTCTGTCCCAGCTCCTGCCAACCTAGCAGTTTGAAAGCATACCAGTGCAAGTAGATAAATAGGTACCGCTGAGGCAGGAAGGTAAACAGTGTTTCCATGCGCTCTGGTTTACATCATGGTGTTCCCTTGTGCCAGAAGCAGTTAGTCATTCTGGCCACATGACCCGGAATGCTGTGGGCAGACAAACATTGGCTCCCTCAGCCTGGAAGCGAGATGAGCGCCATAGCCCCATAGTCGCCTTTGACTGGACTTACCGTAACCGTCCAGGGGTCCTTTCCTTTACCTTCTTTTTTACCTCTTAATTAGCCACCTCTTAATAATCCACCCTTCCCTGCGACGGGGTAAGCTCCCGTTGCTCGGTCCCTGCTCCTGCCAACCTAGCAGTTCGAAAGCACGTCAAAGTGCAAGTAGATAAATAGGTACCGCTCTGGCGGGAAGGTAAACGGCGTTTCTGTGCGCTGCTCTGGTTCGCCAGAAGCTGCTTAGTCATGCTGGCCACATGACCAGGAAGCTGTACTCCGGCTCCCTCAGCCAGTAAAGCGAGATGAGCGCCGCAACCCCAGAGTCGTCTGCGACTGGACCTAACGGTCAGGGGTCCCTTTACCTAACTGTCCAGGGGTCCTTTACCTTCTTTTTTACCTCTTAATTAGCCACCCTCCACCATAAGGTCCCAGGGTGTGAACAGTTAATTGCAATTTCAGCACCATTATCTGTGATCCACATGCTCCATGTTTTAGGTCTCTGAGTGATCTTTGTTGTAATTCTCATTAACCATTTATTTTGACTTCTTTAGTTTTCACATTCCCCCCATCCTCTCCAGCCTACAACAGCCACCCACAATTCTCTTGAGTCAGAGCTGTTCAATTACCTCCAAGAGATGTGTTTCCAAACAAGAGGTTTAAGGATTGCAGACTTCCTGAATAAGCACATTTTCTGTGGGTGAGTCAGCCAGCCCACAGAAAGAGATAATCCCTGGTAATAAACTACTGCTTTCTGCCTGAAAGAGCAACACACACCGTTTGCAGGAAGAAAGAGCAACTACCAGTTGTTGTTTTTAACAGAATGAAAGAATGTTGTCTTAGCTGACCTGCTTGTGTAGCAATCTATTTCAGGAAATCTGAGATTGAGCAATAAAAGCAATTATCCCAAAATAATTTTTAAGCTACGAGTGTCATTTTCAATACTTTGTACATGGCATCAAATATTCAATTACACTTTTCATAATATAACATTAGATCAAAATCTCCTGCTTCTTCAGCAAGTCATACAAAACTTTATTTTTTTTGGAAGCTGCCTAAAGCCTCCTTGGGAAACTAATTTCATCCCTCAAAATTCAGAAGGTATTGATCACCACAGTGGATGTATTTATTCTGATATTTTCATACTGTTTTGACCTCTCTGTTGCTTTTACACAATCATAAAATCAGCCCACAGTGCACTCAAGTTTAGTGACCCCGGTGTTAGCTTTGTAATATTTGAGAGGGCGCTAACACCCCCAGCCAAAATATTCTTACTGATATTTCTTTCTGCAAAACCCAGATCTAACAGCATTTAGTGATGGTTTGCTGACGGCACATCATCATAAACAATTCCAAGCACCTATTTGTTATAGTAGAAATGTTAGGGTCAAATTATGTGCTATGTCAAACTACCTCTTTATTTGTTATTCAGAACGAACATTATGGCCAGCAAGGCACTTTTTGTTCCACACAGCAGGCTTCACATACCAAGAACTTCTTGTTTATTTCTAACCTCTTCCCAACACAGAGCTTCAAGGGAAGTATTGCACAGGTTGCCAATCTTCCTCCTCCCTTCATTAATCACCTGGATTTAAATTAAACATGAATCAACCTAACAGTGTTGCAAACTGGCAACACCTCAGTGTCTCTACTGGTACTGAAGGATGGGAGAGAATGGTGAGGTACCTTATGAACTTAAATAGAAGCATCCCCCCAGCATTTGATGGAAAGGTCATGCTAAAATTAGTTTATATCAGCTCAGGGTGTGGAATATTACTACTACAGTAAAATAAAATGAGTAAAAAATGCTTCAAATCTCAGTATGATGGAATATACAAGTGTTGAAGAGGCACTGAAAAGGAATTTTCAGTTTCCTAGCACATCTTTCAAGTTCCAAGGTCTAGTAGCAGATAACATTCCGTTGCTATGTGAACTATAGAAAATGTATACAGTGGCAACTGAATTGCTAAAAGAGTAATCTGAGACTCCATATGAAGCTGCCTTGTATCGATTTGGACACTGGTCCATACAAGACGATGACTGGCAGCCATTTTTCAGGGTTTCAGACAGGAATCTCCGTCAGCCCTACCTGGGGCTACCAAGGAATGAACCCAAGACCTTCTACATACAAGCCAGAGATACTCTACCACTGAAATGTGGTCCTTCAGTTTGTTATTATTTACAGAAGCTATTTAAAAGAATAGAATTTGTTTATTTTAATCTTATTTTCTTTATTTTAATTTTTAATAAAAAATGTTTCTAGCCTGCCTTTCTTCACACAGTGAAACTAGGGCAAGGTACAAGAAATTGAAGCAAAAAAAAATAATCAATTACAAATCATCAAACAAACAATAAAACAGAAACAGATAAAAAATTATGGCAAAGTTAGTAGTACCACTAATCCAGTATCAGAATCCGACCAAGGCATTAACATCCCACAAAAAGGCCTGATGGAATAAATTAATTTTAGATTTCATTATTTTTATTTATTAATTAAATGTATCTGCCACTTTTTACCAAATAAATAAATAAGTCTAAAAGCAATTTAGATAAGACTGAACCAGCAGAGGTCTTGTTTTCCATCTCAATCTGAGCTTCAGCCCCTAAAAGTTAACAGAGGCCAACATGTAGCACATAATGCAAAGAAGTGCTAAGAAGCAGCAGCTTAATCCAGGCATGACAGAAACTATAGTAGTGGGTCAGTCTAGGGATAGAGAGTCAACAGGATCTACCCATCTAGATGAGTGTGCAAGGTACAAGGTGTGGTGGAAACATCTTTCAGGAACAAATTCCCTCATGGATGAACTTCTGGGACTGCATACCAATGGTGGGCAGGACCAGTACTAAAATGGGCAGGGCTACCATCTCTCTCTCTCCTTTATTCCCCCCCCCCACACACCAATTCACACACATCCACACATCATGTGCCTCCGTTCCCCTCCATTCATATTCTCTTATACAGACAAAGTATTGAAAATGGTATTAGGAGTCTTGCCAGAGGGCGGTGTGGTGGAAGGAGGGAAGGACTAAGCCAGGGGTAGGCAACCTAAGGCCCAAGGGCCACAAGTGGCCCACGGCGGTCGTTTAACTGGCCCCTGAACCGAGTTGCCCGCTCGGCGAGTCCCCACACGCTGCGCTAAACCAGCACAGCGCAGTGCAGGGACTCGCTTCCACAGTGCCGGAAATTGCATCTGTGCATGCTCAGATGCCGAAAATAGTGTCTGTGCAGACGCAGATGCCGGAAATTGCGGCCGCACAAACAATCCAGCCCACGGAGGGATCTCTGCTGGAGTGAACCGGCCCAGGTGAGGTAAACCTTGCCAACCCCTGGACTAAGCCTTGCCTCTCTATAGCGGTAACCCTCCTAAATAGCCCTCTGGCAGGGCGTTAGGCTTGGAAAAAATGCTACTCAGTGGAAGTAAATGGGTGGCTTTTATATATCTTGTAAGTCAGATGTTCTCCACTCCAGCCTATTCTTCCTACATCACAATATCAGCCAATACAGAATTCTGTGGGCTCACCCTCCTGAGAAGGAAAGTTGGTGGTGAACATATTATTCAATTGCACTGGCTTCTTATTTGTTTCAAGACCCAAATCGAAGTAATGACAATATCTAAGAAGCAGTCACCAGGTTCACTGCAAAAAAATCTTAAGAGCACAATGCTTAAAATTACCGAACCACCATGCAAATCATAGAAATCAATGGCGATTACAATAGTTCCCAACTTCAATGGATAAACATGTGCTGTACATGTAAGGTATCATCATACAAAATTTTATTAAGTGTTACAAAGCACAAGTATTTAAAAAAGGTGTGTTGATGTTTTAAAAAATCAGAAGATTAAAAAAGGCAGCACCAAAATATACAGTATGGAAGGCACATGTTGCTTCAAACATACTAATTCATTGCTAAGTGTAATTTCATACAAATCTAAGCAAATAGATTGAATTAATTAACCACAAAAATTATGAGCTACATTGTTATCTGGGTTGATCTTTTGAATTTGACCGCAGATCCAGTGTTAACCTTCATAGTATTTCCCCACATATTCATGTCTAGGACTATTACAATGGAAGAAATCTTTAAAGCAAAACATGTTGTAAACATTCAGCAGGCAAAATGCTACCTGCAATATAAATTTAGTCTACATTACCATCTTGTCTGTAGATTCTAAAAGTTATGACAAAATACAGAGTACTTCATTTGTTCCGTAACTTGAAATTCATGACAAACAAGTTGTTTCTTCAAGTTTATACCACTGTTATGTCACCCATCCTGCACGCGTCGCCATACTATAAATAGAGAAAATATTATCAATCAATACAGAGCTCCAGTATATTCAAGTATAAATAATCAATTTGAACTGGAATATAAAAAAATTAATCCAGACACCCCTGAGCTGTAAAATTGTCGTGGCTGGATAACTGCAAGTCTAATTCAAATTGTAAAGTCAATGAAATTAAAATTGTGCAAATGCTCCAGGATCCAAATTCTCCCCTCCAATAAAACCAGTTCTACTTATTCAAAAAGAATATTCATCAAGCGTATCTCAAACCTAATTCACAAACACAAGTGCTACTACTCTTTCCATCCCAGATTAGGAATATGTTATACATGAATTTTCTTTTTTACATATAATCAAATCATTCTGAACAAGATGGTGCACATTACAAAAGTCAGAAACACTGCAGAATCGCTTGTACTTCTGACTCCCAACTCTAAAGACTGAAGGGGCAGGTGGGAAGCAAGATGTAGAACTCAAGGTTACGAGTAAGAGGCAGAATTCAAAAACACAAAACAATTGACATTTTTGACCCCCTACTTTTAATTTGTGTAGGTATCTTAGTTTGTTTCTGTAATCAATTTCTTCTCCGACTGCTGCATCTCCCTCCCAGATTTTCACTCCAAATTCTTATCAAGTTCTGCAAGCTGATGTTCCACTGACATTATTCGAATAGCTGTCTCCAAGGCTGTTGTCTTCTTTTAATTCTTGTTCATTCTGCTTTCATCTCTAGGTCTAGGTCTGTTATCATTTTAATGATCTTTTTTCCCTTTTTTTTTAAAAAAAACACACTGGGGTTTTTTTTGGGGGGGGACCCAGAGGACTCAGGGTTATAAGCTTCAGACAGTCTTTTATTAAGCCTTAAAACCTTCTGAATTTGGCACAATGGTCTGGATCTAAGATTCCACTTGTAGGAGGGATGCATCCAGCTTAGCTAAAGAACAGAAGAATGACTATCCAGAAGATATTTTTCTGATTGTGCAAGCACTTGCAATACCATTTGCACAAAATCATTGCCTATTTACGCCTAAATTCAGTAATTTTAACATTTTATTTTATTTATATCTCACACCTTCAACACTGCAGTGCTCTCAAGAGTGGTTTACAGCTTAAATCCCTTGCATATATGCAAAGTCAGTCCTTGTCCCTGATTTAGGATTTAAAAAATAGGTATGTACTGTATTGACTTGAATGTAAAGTGCACCTTTTTGGATCAAATTACGTCGCAAAAATTAGGATGTGCATTAGATTTGATGGCGCCAGCAAATAGTTTTTTGGTTTCAAGCATTTTTTGAAAATTGAGGTGCACATTACATTCACTGGTGCATTAGAATCACATAAATATGGTAGTTAATGAGATCCCACTAACATAAAACTAACTTGCATGCTACAATGTCCCAGGTTTCAGTATGGGCAGGAACTCATTGACCTAGGGGTGAGCAGAATTTAGGCTTGTGGGATCTAGTGGGGGTTTTGTCTTCTATAACACCGAAATCCCTCAACCAGAGCCAGGTGCAAAACAGTGGTAATGGGGAAAACATAGAATGATAAATATTTAAGAAATAAATGCCAGTTAAGGGAAAAGGAATTTTTTACTTCGTACAGGAAGTACATAGCATAAGAAACAATGGATATGCAGAAATAGCCACAAATCTTTCTTTATTCCATTTATGAACTGCTTGCCATAAAGCATTTAAAAGCAATTTTAAAAGAAAAACATCTACAATAAACAGATGTATTTTTAAAAGTTCAAGTACAATACAGATAGTCATTTAAAATACTGGCTGGAAAAGGAAGGCCTTCAGCAGGAATAAAAAATATAAGAGATAGAACCTCTGTCTGATACGTAACAGACTTTTAAAGGATATTAATGTTGCAAGTATTCATTAGAAGTACTGGAAGCAAATAAAGCAGAATGCCCTGGTTACCTCAATTTAGGTCTACTAACAGACTACCTGTCACAAGGAATCTTAAACCAAGGGATTTTCGCAGCCAACAAAACTACCTCTTTCCCTTATAAGCACATCATCACTGGAAACAAGGGAGAATTGATGTCTCAACTTTTTGTATGATTTGGCATGATCAGGGTGTACTATTTCTGCTCTAGAGAAGTGTTCTTTCCTGCTTCCAGAGTCCTCTCATCTGATGCATTAAGACCTGTCCCAGGAATTTATATCTCCCTAGAAGGGCAGTGAACCAAAAAATATTTTTTCCAAGTGCCTTAGATAAGTTTGGTCTTTGATGAACTGACATGTCAGTGGATTCTTCCTCTGACAGCCATGCTATAAAAGGAATTTAACTTTGGACTTTATAGCTATTGGTATATCAGGAATGTTTATATTAACACAGTGAGAACAACAGATTGGTTCATGCAAAAAACACAAATGTCCCTTACTTCACACAGTGGAATTTTAGGTGTTTGGTAAACAGTATGTTTTCAACTGAACTAATCATCTTTTCAATAATGTCAGGGTGAAATATCAGCCCCTTTAGTTCCATTATAGTTCCATTACACACACACACACAGCTGCATGCCAAAACTCTTTCAAAATTCAATGCTGTGAAATAATTACATCTTATAATATTTTATTAACCAAGGATGTTCTATATTCAAGATACAGAAATTCGCTATGTGGAATTGAAAGGAACTCCATAGGGATGAACAGGAAATGAAACTTAAATTGGATTTATAGAACCAATGCAGTTTTTAAAAGAAAGTTTATAAAGTATCATCACTCAGAGGAAGAAAATACAAAGCTTTATCATCATGAAGGGGAATAAAACATTTTAGATAGTCTGTTACGCATTAACAAATCCTGGCTGATCCAAGCCAAATGTTTCCCAAATCAAAACTTTTAGCAGTGGTATAGGATGCTTCAAAAATGCGATATGCAATCACTAAAATAAAAATATTTTCATAAAATATACCACTTAATTGTAAGAAATACCTCAAAATTGTTTACAAAAAGAGTAAAACAATGAAATTCATGCCACAAGGGTAAATGAATTATTTTCTCTATCAATGCAGTTTTATTATTCAGGTACGGCAGTGTCAGCCTATTTAAAGTACAATATGCATTTGCAAAGCACCCCTCCTCCTCCACTTACTTAAAATGCTTTGCGAAATACTGAATAATGCTATAAGCAGCTGAGTTGGGAAATGGTTGGTGCATGTTGTATAGACAAACTCTTTTATGAGATTATGCAGTCTTTGAGTAGTCTTATACCAACCCCCCCCCCCAACAAGGGAATTTTTTACACATTTACCAAAGTCAAAAGGAATCAAGACACTAGGGTCTACAAATGGGTCATGTCATACATCTAAACTTTTCACCATTTTAAGACGCGTGTGAGAGATAAGCAGTATAAACTAAGAAGCATTTTTACTGTTCCTAACCAATATTAAGCAACATTTACTGCAACAATGAGGAGCTACTTACTTTACCACAGAGGTCAAGTGTTTGGTTTATATTTTATTTAGGCCACCCCATTCTAAAAGAAAGTACCTGTCAACTTGTATTTATATATATATATAATATATATATTATATATATATATATATATATATATTTGCTTTCGTATATATATATATATATGCAGGTTTTGGTGTCCTCGGGTGTCTTCCCGTGTAGAAGTTGGGGTGTCTAGGCGACGTTTCGACGAGGTCTCACTCGTCATCTTCAGGCTGGTGCTTTCGGCTTCTTGTTACTGGAACAGAGCAGGATCTCAGTGTTTGAGTTCCTATAAATACTGTTGAGGGGGTGTGGTGTATAGCCTCCAATGTTCTGGGCAGAGAGGAAGTTCCCAGGCTAGTGTGCCTATTCTTCTTTTGTTCCTTAATTACTTGAGGGATATCTTGAGTGATTTCTTGAGTGATATTCTGAGTACCATTTAGGTGGGTCATTAGGTGTGGATTAGTTGCTCAAGGTACATTGAACAGAACATTGGAGGCTATACACCACACCCCCTCAACAGTATTTATAGGAACTCAAACACTGAGATCCTGCTCTGTTCCAGTAACAAGAAGCCGAAAGCACCAGCCTGAAGATGACGAGTGAGACCTCGTCGAAACGTCGCCTAGACACCCCAACTTCTACACGGGAAGACACCCGAGGACACCAAAACCTGCATTCCTGTACCCGTGAAAATCTACGAAAGCAAATATATATATATATATATATATATATATATATATATATATATATATAAATAAAAACAAACTAAGCAGCACGGCTTAGTTCCCCCCACCCCCAGGCAAAAAATATTTTGCAGTTAGGTTGTGAACCCAAGATCCAGTTTTCAGCCTACTCTTTGTGATATTATACCTGTAAACGGAACAAGCAAGATCACAAGAACATTTACTTCATGTTGGCAAATTCATTTTCAATCGTCATTCGGATTCTCCTCCATCCCTTTCTAATCCTGGTTATTAGCATCAGTCCAGGTACTTATCGGCGGCCTGGTTTGCATGACACACTGAAGCCAAACACTGGTTTAGTGTGATTGTGAAAACATGTGGGCTCACAACATATTTGCTTCTCTGCTGTTCTGAGTTAAGCCAAAGTTTGCCTTACTCTGTTGTCCAAACTGATTATGGTAAAGACAGAAGTGCTGTGTGGATAATTGATCTAGATAATTGATCAATTTCCTGCTTTGGGTGGGATTTTTGTCTGGCTGGTATGTTTTGTTTGGCTGGAATGTATCCTTTAACTTCTGCCTCTCTGTGGTCTGGATGGAGAAGAGGGATGGTGGGTGTGGGTGTAAAAACCAACTTTCTGTACCAAGGAAAAACTTGCATTAATGGCTTGGCCCACTTTAACCTTTGGCCCTTTCTGGCATTGAGGCTACAGAAGGATGCCCATATGGGAATGGGGCCTTTGGTGTGAAAAGAAAGTTCCCCGCCCCAGCCAAAAGCCAACCTTAAGGTTACCAGTGCATGAGCCACAATGCTTAGGCTATGTTAACTTGTGGTTCAATGGGGGAAAGTATTAATCTATAGGCCAAGATCCA